GGCGGGGGAGCGGGGCCGCTGGACCCCGCCTGAGGCTGCGCAGCAAGCGATCCGGGCCTGTGGGCACCCGCAGACCGCGGGACCGGGCGCCTGCGGCCGCGCCGAGTCCTCCGCGCCGGAGAGGGGTAGGGGAGAGTGTCTGCGCGGAGGCTGCAGCCCCGTCGTCCCGGTTTCCCTGTGAGCGCATCTCCGTGCCTCAGACTCCGCTTCCACTGGACTCGGAGAAGGAGGGTGTGGAGTGACTTGACCTTCCAGCTCGGCGGTGGGGATGGGTGGTGATGGACCCTTGTCCCACTACGCAGGAGGGCTTGGCTACCCTGTGCTGGAGGTTCATCTGTCCACATCGTGACATTTTGCGGAGAACTTATTCTGGGCCGGGTGCTGTTCCAGGGGATTGGGTCGTCAGCATGCTTGGGTGGACAGCCAATAAACACATGAACACACAGCCAGGGGCACTGCAGACAGAGGCTAAGCACTGCAAAGAAAACACAGTGGGGGCTAGCTGTGGCTTCTGTGAGGATGTGGCCTGCATGATGAGACAATGCTGGGAGAAGAGCAAGCACCAAGGCCCTGAGGTAGGCATAAGCTTAGCAGCTTGGAGAGCAAGCTGGGGCTGGAGAGTGGAAAGGAATGAGGCAGAGCAGTAGGCGGGGGTCAGATCAGCTGGGGCCTGGAAGGCCGAGGGGGCTTCCTCCTGGGGCTCCTGCCTGGGCTGCTGACTGTGCTAGGAGTGGCCTCTCTCGGACAATGTCCGCTTCCCCCCATCTCCAAGGATGAAGGATAAGGCGGGTGGCCTGTGTCCTGTGGAGCCTTCCTCATCCTGTTTTGGTTCCAGGGTTTAAAAGCCCAACAAGCTGCTAGGAGTGGGAAGCACTGAGGGGCGTCACAGCCACTGTGAAGAAGTATGGCCTCCCTTCTGCTCAGGGCTCTCCGTGGTCCCCAGGGTTTCCCATCCAGTAGCTCTGGGTGAGGTGGGTCAGTCCCACTGCACAGATGAGATGGGAAAGCTGAGGCCCAGAGAGGGGAAGGCCCTGTCTGGGAGCTCGTGGCATGTCCAGCCCTGCATGACCTAGCTGAGCTGGTATCCTGCCCCTCAGTCTGGCCAATGGAGGGAGGGTGGGAAGTGGAGGCCCAAGACATAGGTGGAAAAATTGCCTCTGAAATGTTAATGAGGGCCCAGCCCTGTGGCGTAGTGGTTAGGTTAAGTGCTCACGCTCTGCTGCTGGCGGCCTGGGATCGGATCCCGGGCGCGCACTGAGCCACCGCTTGTCAGGCCATGCTATGGCTGCGTCCCACATAAAGTGGAGGAAGATGGACACAGATGTTAGCCCAGGGCCAGTCTTCCGCAGCAAAGAGGAGGATTGGCATGGATGTTAGCTCAGGGTTGATCTCTCTCACAAAAAAAAGAAAAAAAAAATAGAAAATGTTAATGAGGTCAGGAGAGTCCCTCCCAGGTAGAAGAAACAGTCTGTCTCAGTTTCCCTGGTCCTGAGAGGCCTGGGGTTGCCCTGGGCCCTCAGCTTCCAGGACCTTCTCCTCTGAGAATCCCCTGACCCATCCCTCCAGTCTGGGCCCCACCCTGCCCCCCTGCCCACAGCCAGCCTTCCTACCATCTGTTCCCTGGGGCTGCAGACCCCTTCCTTCTCTGTCACTCCCCGGGCTTCTGCCCCCAAGGCCAGGAGCTCACTCCTGGGGGGAGGAGAATGTGGGGCTACTGACTTAACCCCTCTGTGCCTCTCCTTTCCCCCTCTGTACAAGGGGAGAGGCCGGTGTGATGCGGTAAAGCACTCTGCTCTGTGTCTGCACACAGTGTGCATGGGTGTATCTTTTTTATCATTGCTTCAGTTATTTTGTAAGCGCTGACACATAGTGGCAGTTTTGGTATGGCCCGCAGCCTCCATGACGCAAGTGTGGCTCTGGGAGCACCACCTGAGAGTGTGTTAGAAATGCACTCTCAGCCCCCCGGCCTGGGGAGCCAGGATCTGCATGTTCACAACACTAGAGTCATCCTCCGGTGGAGAAACCCAGCAAGTTGCCGCAGGGGGCCGGGGCCCTGGAGACAGACAGCCGGGGTTGCAGGCCCAGCAGGTGGCTGCCCGGCTCTGAGCTCTAGAGTGGGGATAATGTAAGTCCTTCCCTCGTAGGGTGGGAGGGCTCAGTGAGTGTTCCCTGCTGTCGTTACAGAATTAGCAGGGAAATTGGTGGAGGGAGACCAACTGACACTCTCCTTTCTCACCTCAGACCCCAGAGCAAGTGGGGCTTCAAAAGGGGCCTTTGGACCTGGGTACCAAATCCTTACCCCCTCCGTGCCCCCAGCTCCTCCTGTGGGAGGAAAAGCAGCAGTTACTTTTGTGTGTGTGACCTTTTGTAGACGTTTACTTCTCTGGTCTTTTTTGGTCTTTGCAGCAACCTTGTTAGGTAGGTGTTATTGTCCCTGTGACGTGCATAGAGGGGAAATGACTCACCTAAGACACACGTCAAGTATGTGGCAGAGCCAAAAGCACAACCCAGGTCTGCCCAACTCCATAACCTATGTTAGCCGGAAGTTTTTCAGTGGTAAATTAGAGAAATCAGACTCAAACCAGCCTAGCAGAAAAGGGAATTTGTTAGATTTTATAACAGAAAAGTCCAGGAGTGTAAGGCTAGCTTCAGGTGTCGCTGGATCGGGGGGCTGACATGAGGATCTATGTCCAGGATCTATTTCCATCTGCCTCCCAGCTGTATGTTCCTCTGTGTTGGCTTTATTCTCACATGGGTCTCCATGTGTGCAGTCACAGTTGTACAGCTCTGGCTTAGTGTTCTTAGTAGTGTAAGTAATTATAGCCGAAGTCTCAGGGCTGATTCTCATTGGCCAGGACAATGGAGCATCCTGATTGGCCAGGCTTAGATCACAAGCACATTCCCTGGAGTTGTGGAGGGGGAGAGTCAGCCATACCTAAACCTCATGGACGAAGACTGGGGGAGCTGAGGTTCCCCTCAAGAAAATGGGGTGCTGGACAGGGAAAGCCAAGAGAAGCCCCCCAATCCCTCCAGGCCCCGGACGCTCGGTCCTGCTGCTCTGGCTCCTGGCCCCTGTGCATCCTCATTGGCTCCTCTTTGCCACAGGGGCCTCTCAGCTTCCTGTGCCTGCCAGGTGCTTGGCCTGCACCCCAGCCCTGCCCCTGCTGGGGCTGCTTGGTGCCCTGTCCTGGGCCAGAGCCGGTGCTGGGCCAGAGCTGGTGCAGGGTTGCTAGGACCAGAAGTTTGCTCCGTGGGGAGTGGGGAGTGGGGCAGAGGGGGCTGTGGGATCTTCTCCACCTCACAGCCACTTCCCAGTCATTCTGGCAGGTCTGGGAAGTCTTGAGGGAGGCAGCACACCCCGCCGGCTGTAAGCTGCCTGCCCGTGCTGGTGCGTGGCGGTTGGCCTGGTCCGTGCTGCGGCCTGCCGGCTGCAGTTCATTCCTCCTGCGGGCTCGGCCGGTCAGGGAGGGAGACACGCAGGAGACTTCTCCGCATGGCGTCGCACATCCCTGCCAAAGCGGCTGCCCTTCTTGACTGACCCGAGCTGCCCTGCAGGGCCCTGCTGGTAAAGGAAGGAGGTGAACTGTCCCACGCGTCCCTGGACTGCTGGCAGCCCTGGACCCGGCCGCCCGCAGCCTGTGCGCCGCTGAGGGGCCCAGTGCTGCTCCGCCCTGCCCCAGCTCAAAGCCGCTGGCTTACACGAAGTGAGATGCAGCTTCTGGTGCTGTGGAGGCCCCCGCCCTGAACGCAGGGCAGCGTCCCTCTCCAAGGGGGTGCTCCTGCCATGGCCTAGGGTTGGAACGCAGCGAGCAGGAAGGGGGCGGTGTCTGCTGGGGCCGCCTCACTGCTGCAGGGTATCCAGTGGCTCAGGCCAGAAACCATGAGGTCGCCTGCCGTGCTCCCTTCCCTCCCTGCGTGTCTGTGGGCAGGTCTTGTTGGCCTCCCTCCCCGACTCCCGGGTGGCTTCTATTGTGTGGGGAGACTCAGTTTCCCAGCTTTCCCCCATGGACGCATGTTCTCGGGCCTCCCTCCCCGACTCCCCATGCCACCCCACTGCTGCCACTAGCCGAGCCACTGTCTTCTCACCTGGACTGGCAAAGTAGCTCCTCGGCCTCCCTGCCTCCACTCTATCCCTGCTTCAGTCCATGCTCCGTGGTGCCACAGCAATCCTCTCCACGTGGAAATGGGACCCTGTCACCTGCCCTCGTAACACCCTTCTCGTGGATTCAGCATGAAATCACCTTGCACGTGGTCACACAGCCCCGTCTGACCTGGCCCCGCCGACTTTTCTGCTCTCACCTCCAGCCACACTGGCCTGCTTCTTGCCCTTTGAACCTGTTTCTACCTCAGGGCCTTTGCATTTGCCATTCTTTCCCTGGTATGCTCTGTCCAGATTGTTCCAAGTCTGGCTCCTTCTCAGTTATTTAGATCTCAGCTCAAATGTCACCTTGTCTGACAACCCAATCTTAAGGAGCACCCCTTTTCTCTGGGATTCAGGCTTAGCTGTTGCCACAAAGGCCAAAAGAATAAGATAGAAGATTATTTCTGTCTGTTGTATGATAGTCGGTGTGCAAGCTGTCCAGGACATGCATGGGGGCCCCGTTGTGTCTGGAAACCAGACACCTTTCTTACTGCTCTGTTATCCTCAATATGCGGCTTCTGTCTCATGGCCTAAGATGGCTGCTCTTGCTCGCACCACCACATCCATGTTCCAGCTAATGGGAAGGGAGAAGGGTACAACTTGAAATTGGCAAACCTCACTGCTCATGTCCGACTGAATAAAACTGAGTCACATGGCCACAGCCAGGGACAAGGGAAGATGGGAAAGTAGCCATTGTTCTGGGAAGCCATGGGCGAGCTAAAATCCATGGGCTTTAGTACTAAAGGGAAGGGTGGGTGTTGGGGACCCAGCAGCCTCTACTCTGTTTCCCGTCGTTTGGTCCACTCCTGTTTTCTTCTCTACGTAGCACTTATATCTAGGAGACAATACGGATTTTCATGCTGGCTGTCGGCCTCACCTCCCAGGATGAAGGCCCTGTGAGGACAGGTGTGTCCCAGCACCGGGACTGCCTGGCCCACTGCAGGTGCTTGCGGGGCCTGCGAGGTGGAGGAATGCGTGAATGAAGGAGGGTGGGCTGGCCGCCTCTCCCATCAGTAGGGAGCAGGGGAGGAGCCAGCTTCTTTCTTTGGACCTACTGTGTGTCATATGTTCTCCTCTTGAACACTCCCCGTCACCCTGGCGGTTGTTGGGATATCCTCGGGTTTCAGTGGGGGCAGGTTCCAGATCCAGTGAGTGGCCTGTTGGAGAGAAGGATGGAGGGGCCTGAGCCCCAGGTCCTGGCCCCCCCCCTTCGGAGACTTCTTTCAGCCAGAGGCGGCTGCGTCTTACGGCTGGGACAAGCAGTGAGAATGTCCCCGCGCCCCGTCCCGGCCTCAGCGTGGGCCTGCTGCTGTTCAGGGCTAGTGTTCGTGACAGCACAGCACGGGTTCCTGTTGCATTGCTGCAAATCCTTCTTGCCAACAGGGCACTACGAATCCTGGACTGCTCCTTGCTGAATGGGAGACCTGTGCCCTTGACGTGTAAACAGAACATCTTTTAAATTTTTAAAAATTGACTGAGGTGCAAGACAGACAGAAACGTGCGGGAAGCATAGGTACGTGGCTCAATGAATTTGGGCGCAGTGAATATGCCTGTGTGCCCAGCACCCAGATCAAGCACCCAGACGCTGGTGTGCCCCCCTCAGCACTGTGCCCTCCATCCTCCGCAAAGCTGACCCTCAGCTGGATCTGTGTGTGGGGTCAGACCGCACGTCCGCTCCTGTGCCTGGCTCTGTCGGCATCGGAGTGTGAGGTCTTCTCGCGTTGCTGCTGTAGCGGTGGTCCATTCTCTTCCTCACTGCATAGGGCTCCACTGTTGACGTGAACGCCCCCATTTATGTGTGCGTTCGCTGATGGCAGGCCTTGGAGCTGCTCCTGGCCTGGGGCTGCTGTGAACGTCCCAGGAAGTGGGGACACGCTTATAGCACCCAGTCTGCCTGTCGTCACTCGAAATGCTGGCATCTGTTATGTCCTGGTGCCCGGGCCGCGCCTGGCTCACCCTGCCTTGTGCCCCCCAAGTGCCCCCCAAGCTCCCTGCAGAAGTCCCTGCTGCTGTCCCCAAGAGTCCTGTGACACGGGGTTGTCCAAGGTGGCTTCAGGACCCCAGACCACCAACTCTCCTGGCTTCCAGGCTGGACTCTTGATCTCTCATTCTCAGATCGTCAGTGGGCGCTCGGCTGGTGGCCCCCTCGACTCCGGCTCCTCCAGCCCCCAGCCCTTGCAGACACAGCTCCCCCCCCCCCCCCCCATAGTGCCTCCTCTTCCCTAGCACGGCTCCACTTGGAGACCTCCTCTGCATCTTCTGGGCACAGAGCACTGTCCCCTCCACTTGCATCTGCCTTTCCAGGGTGGCAGCAGAGGGAGACGAGGGCTTGAGGTCCTTCCTAGGGGTGTACGGTGCCTGGCTCTGGCACTCTGCGGCTGCGTGGCCGCACACACGTCACTCAGAGCGCAGCTCGCGGTTCCCGAGAAAGCCACGTGTGCAGGCTGTCGGCGACGCTTGATGTCACTCATTAGTGCTCCCCACGACCTCACAGGGGCCCGACACTGTTGTTACCCCCATTCCAGGGGCAGGGGAACTGAGGCACAGAGAGGACAGGAAGTAAGGGGCAGGCCGGGACGTGAACCCTGGCTCGTAGCTGCTCTGCTCCCTGTCTCTCCTCTGGCCCCCCAGGATTGGAAGGACTGAATGGGGTGATGCCAAGTTCTCGCGTTGCTGTGTGGCACGCCGACAGGCTCAATCACAGGGGGTGGCATTTATTGTTTGGGGGTCACGAGACAGAGCCTGAGACAGGGATGGGCCCCTGCCCAGGGCTTGGGTCACGACGTGTGTGGCAGCACCACACCTCACCTCCCGCCTGGGGCTGGGGGAGTGGCCCACAGGCCCACAGCAGGCGGCCACTGGGAGCCTGAGACCCGGAGGCCCAGGGCCCACAGCCCCTGCACTGCTCATGCAGTGGCTCTTACTCCCCTAGGGCGGTTGCTGGGGGGATGGACACCCTGGAGGAGGTGATTTGGGCCAATGGGAGCACAGCACTGCCCCCACCCCTGGCACCCAACATCAGTGTGCCGCATCGCTGTCTGCTGCTGCTCTATGAGGACATCGGCACCTCTAGGTGAGGCAGTCACAGCCCTGTTGGGCAGGCTGGCTGTGTGTGAGTAGGTTTTCCTGGTGCCTGTGTGTGTGTGAGACAGGTGGGGTGGGGTGCAGACACCTCACCAGTGAGCTGTTTTCTCTACCCATCTGCTAGGGTCCGGTACTGGGACCTCTTGCTGCTCATCCCCAACGTGCTCTTCTTCATCTTCCTGCTCTGGAAGCTTCCATTTGCTCGGGCCAAGATCTGCATCACTTCCAGCCCCATTTTTATCACCTTCTATATCCTGGTGAGTTCACTCCAACTGGTGATAGAAAACCCAACTCCAACTGGCTTAAGCAAAAAAAGGAATTATTAACTGCCTCTGTAATGAAAAAACAGCTTCAGGTATAGCTGGATCCAGGGAATTAACTGATGTCATCAGGACTCTGTCTCTCTCTGTATCTCTCTTCCTCTCTGACCTCATCTCAGATGAGTTCTCCCTATATGGTGTCAAAGATAGCCAAGAAGAGCTTTGAGCTAATATCCTGCCTCCCTGCCAACTCCAGCAGAAGAGTACCTCTTTCCTGGTGGTGCCAGTATAGACCTGGAATTCCCTCTGATTGGCCCACCTTGGATCCCATGTTCATCCCTGAGCCAATCACTGTGACTAGTAGGGAAAGGGGCATTTTGGAGCTGGGAGGGTGGAGTCAGCTCAGCCAGACTATATGGACTGAGGAGAGTGGTGGTTCCTGGAAGAAAACTGGGCAACCTTTACTAGAGGGAAGGAGAATGGATGCTGGGGGGGAAGAATGCCCACTGCAGCCTCCATGCATCCATCTGTCCATCCATCCACACATTCTGCTAAACCTCTTTGGAGCAGAATTCCTGTCTGTTGGGAGACCCTGCATTCTCTTCACTTAGTGGTCCTGGTGTGTGTTGCCTGGGAAGAGGTAGCAGGGCTGTAGTTGAGAAGGTGGCTCCAGGTGCGGGCTTCAGGTGCAGGCTGCCTGGCTCCCTTCCTTCAGGGCCCAGACCTGACTGGCTGGAGTCCTCCCCTCTCTGTGCCTCTTAACTACCACTACCTGAGAGCTCGGTGGGTCCCTGGTCTCCCTGTTTGTGGCCCGGCTCAGAACTTCGCAGTCAGAGGAGTGGGCAGTGGGCAGGCAAAGACGCAAGGGAGGCCACGGGGAACCCTGGAGGCCATTGGAGGCCCCAGAGGCTGTGAGCCAACTGGAGCCCCCTCCCTGTGAGGTGGAGGTGGGCAGGGTTAGGGATAGAGGCCTCCTTTCTTCTCTGCTGTCTCTCACTGCCTCTCTGACCATTTACTTGTTTGTGTATTTATTCAACAGATATTAAGCACCTACTGTATGTCAGGCAGATGCCCTTTCTGGGAGAGTGGGCAGGGAAAAGGGGCCCAGGGCTGATGCCCAAGAGCATGAGGCAGGGCAGGGGTGTCAGCACTGCCCTGCCCTCCTACTCCTGGAGATTTTGTTCTAGAGAGCCCAGGAGGCAGCGGTACGAGTGTACTCCGGCAGACCCCAGCTGTGCTGAATGACCTTGGGCCAGTGGCTTGCCCTCTCTGTGCCCCAGTGCCTTCCTACGTGATGTGTGTTGAATCTGGATCTGCTTTAGCTTGTGGCACTCCTGTGAGCACCAAATGAGACTGTGCATAGCTCCAGTGCAGTAGGGGCTTGGCATACAGTAGGCATGCGGCAGTGTGTTGCTTCTGCAGCCTGCCCTGCTGAGTGCTGTCAGCCTCCCCAAGGCTTGGACGTGGTTGTCATGGCACAAAGGATGGAGTGTGCATGAATCTGGGCTCTTTTGTTTTTATGGGTCAGAAAACCAAACTTAAACTCACAGAAGCTGAAGAGAAAGTCTTCACTGAGAAACTGACAAGCCCCAGGGCTTCAGGCACAGCTGGATGCCGTCGGGACACCATCTCTGCCTCCCTCTCAGCTTGGCATCTCTCTGATGGCCCTGTCTCCAGCAGTCTCCGCCCTCGCGGCAGCCAGGCAGCCCCAGCAACTCCAGGCTTCCTTTCCCAGCGGCTGCACCTGATGTCCTGGGTGTGACTTTCAGTAGACTCCCTTTGGTCCCGCCCCATCCCCAAACCAGGGGAATGGCATACGCTGAACGGCCAGCCCTAGGTCACAGACCTGTCCCTGAAGCCAGGAGGGGTGGGGTCAGCCCCTCTTGAACCACGTGAGAGAGGAGGGAGAGGAACGGGGCTGTTGCCAGAAGAAGGGGGTGGACCCTGGGCTGACAAGAGCCGCAGATGCTGAGCATGGGCACTTTTGCAAAACCTGCTGCACGGCAGCCTTCCCCAGGGTCTTTGGCACCTCTTCCGTGCAGCCTCCTCTTCCCAGTCCCCATGTCTCGGGATTAAGACCATAAACACAACAACACGAATGGCAGATGTGTACCTAGCCCTGACTGGGTGCCAGGCACGCGCTGCTACCTTTATTTACCCGTTCGATCTTCCCAAAATCAAATGCAGTAGGTGCTATTTTTATCCCATTTCACAGGTGAGGAAACTGAGGCACGGAGGTGCAGTTACTTGCCTGAGGTCACAGAGACAGGAAGTAGCAGAGCTGGGATTTGAATCCAGGCAGTCTGGCTCCACCATGTCACCCTACTAACTTCAGAGCCTGTCAGTGTAGCCAGGAAGCTGAGGCCCGAGAAGGGAGGGCCAGGCCTGAGGTCACCAGTGGTGGAGGGGCTCCCCACCTCCCTGATCCCACCCCAACTTGGTTTGTGTGAATCCTTCCATTCTTGAGGAATCGAAGGCTCCTGCAAATGCAAGTGTGGGTTTGCAGTCCCTGTGGTTCCCCGAGGTCTTGTTCCCCGGCCCCACCACCCCGCCCCCTCTCGCCCACCAGGTGTTCGTGGTGGCGCTGGTGGGCATCGCCCGGGCTGTAGTGTCCATGACGGTCAGCACCTCAGACGCTGCGACTGTTGCTGATAAGGTGTGGCTGGGCCAGCCGACCAGGGGGCGGGTGCTGGGTGCCGGGGAGAGGGGCGGCTGGGCCCTAGGCTGACGCTCTGCCCACTCTGTGTCCAGATCCTGTGGGAGATTACCCGCTTCTTCCTGTTGGCCATCGAGCTGAGTGTGGTCATCCTGGGCCTTGCCTTTGGTGCGTGTCCTGCTGGGGCCAACGCTCTCCCTGCCCCTCCCTGGCGGGGGCCGACCCCACCACAGTCACCTGGCTGGCTCCCACTGAGTGGCCGGCACGTTTCTTCCAGGTCACCTGGAGAGCAAGTCAAGCATCAAGCGGGTGCTGGCCATCACCACGGTGCTGTCCCTGGCCTATTCTGTCACCCAGGTAAGGGGGGGTGGGGCAGGGCAGCCCTGGGGGCTCCCCGGAGGAGGTGGGGGTCAGTGAGGGCCCGGCATCCACTGCCTCCTGGTGCTGGGTCAGGCGTTGAATGTTATCAGATGCAGCATTCCCAAACTTTAAATGCACCTAAGGAGTCACGTGGGATGCGTGTTAACAAGCCGTGCTCCAGGGCTTCTGCAGGTTCTGATCCAGTAGGCCGGCATGGGGAGGTGCGAATGCCCAGCAGCTGCGGTGTGAACCAGCAGCCCAGGGGGGGGAGAGTGCAGGTCTGCAGACTGCACTGAGAGCCGTCCAGCCATAGACTGGACAGGGGCCGCCCCTTGCCCAGCTCTGCCCCGCCCCCCGGAGCTAGATGGGCAGGACGTGGCCAGAGAGCAGGCTGGGGTAGGGAACTCGGAGGGCCAGGCCGAGGGGGTGGGCGTGGTGTGGTGGAGAGCTTCGGGGGCTTTGTCTCAGGGGAAGGGTACAGTACGGGGACTTTCTCGGTGGCTGAGCCTGTGAGACCCTCCCTGCCCGCCCTGCAGGGGACGCTGGAGATCCTGTACCCTGACGCCCACCTCTCAGCTGAGGACTTCAACATCTACGGGCACGGGGGCCGCCAGTTCTGGCTGGTCAGCTCCTGCTTCTTCTTCCTGGTGAGGCGGAGGGGGGCACCCTGGGGTGGTGGGAGCCTCCAGCCTGAGGCAGAGGCGGGGATTCTTGGCACTGGGTTTCGCTCTGGGCCTGGTGCTCCCCAGCATCCTCCTCAGGTCCGCTCTGGCTCCACAGGTCTACTCTCTGGTGGTCGTCCTCCCCAAGACTCCGCTGAAGGAGCGCATCTCCCTGCCTTGTGAGGGGCTGTGGGGCAGGGCTGGGTGTAGGGTGGGGTCTGTTCGGGTTGCTGTGGCCATGAGCTGGAGAACCCTGGGTGGGGCGGGGGTAGGCCTCCGACGACCCCCAGAGGGGTCCAGGCGACACACTGGGGACGAAGGGTGGAGACGTGGGCAGGACCTCACAGACCCCCAACCCTCCCAGCGCGGAGGAGCTTCTACGTGTACGCGGGCATCCTGGCGCTGCTGAACCTGCTGCAGGGGCTGGGAAGCGCGCTCCTCTGCGCCGACATCATCGAGGGGCTCTGGTACGTGGGCGGGGCACGGGGGGAGGACTCACCGAGGGGCTCTGGGACGTGGGCGGGGCACGGGGG